TTACTTGCGGCTAAGCAATATATCATATCTACGTTCTCACAATGGCCATTTAGCCTCTCTCTATCTAAAGCTATAAGGAAAATGTACGCATAATTTCTTCCTCGCGCTCATTTCGCTTCTCGGTAGACGTTTGCGTTCTACGCAAATGTACGATATATCGCAGATGCGCAGCAAAGTGCAACAATGTTTTTGAGTAACATTCCGATCGATTATGTTACTAAAACTGAAATATTTTACACATTTCTTATATATTATATACTCTTATATATTATAATATATAATACAATGAACGTAATTCGCGAATTTTAGATTCTTAATAATTAGCATTAATTTTTTGATTAATTTAAGCCAAAATTATGATTCAAACTATACATTTAAAAATACATACGATGATCAAAATCTGTCGCATAACTAAGACTAAAAATGAGGACTATCTGTAGGGTAATCTGTGTATTAAAATATTTATATTTCTTTTCACAATATAGGAATTAAATTACAGAAATATATTTAAAAAGTATAATTATTATATTATTTTATATCTACTTGTGCTGCGAAATATAGCAGACATTCTGTCGAATACGCATGTTGGAAAAATCGATTGGATTTATTGAAATTCGCGATATTGGGGGTGTTATTAGGGTATTAATGTATGCATTACGGCAAACGAATAAATATACGCGCGCAACGGCTGTGGATTGCCGATGGAATTAGTCCCTTTGTACTCAGAGAGAGGAATTTTGCGTGTTTCAATTAAACGATCATGAATTTTTGAAAGTATCTGACATCGTGCGATTTCTAATTATAATTATCTTTGTTCGCGTAATTGATATTCTTAATTTGTAAAAATATTTTTTAAAAATTGTTTGATAGCTTAAATATTACTTTAACGATATTTGAAAAAGTTTCGAGTCAATATCATCCAAACTTTAAGCTTTGTGTTTACATATGACATACATATTCGTTCGGAGCTAAAATGCTTCGCATAAAAATTTATAGAGAGAAAGAGAGAGAGAGAGAGAGAAAGAGATAACAATATTGAATTAAATGCTTTAACAAAAATTTTTTATTGTAGGATTGTTTTTAATATTTTATTAATAATAGAATAATCTTGAATTCATAAATAATAAACTTTTAGCTATTGATATTTTCTTAGTAAAATAAAAGTTAGTGTATCTTGTAAGATTATAGCCTTTCTTAAAATTTATCTATATTCACACACATTATATCCTAATTACATTATATTATATTAGAAATATATATTTAAATGAAAATATTAAACTATTGTAATCAGTGTTAATATATGACATATTTTTCTGTTTGGATATATTTTGTTATAAAATTAATTTATTCATCTTAATGTGATCAAAATGATTTAGTTCTTTTTCACTTCATCTGCTTGTAATTAAGAATTACTTAGCATCACAAAAAAACGAAAAAGACAAGTGAAAGTAAATTTTAGAAGCAGGGAAAAAAATAAGTTTTTGACACAATGGTGCTTAGAGTTTTAGAAAGTTAGATACTGAAAACACAAGAGAATGACATACCTAGTGGCGACACAGATGCCGTTACGTTTCCTACCGGTAATATGCCAGCAGGGAGAAATTCCATGCACGCAAGAACCGTTGTCCGAAAATCGACAATGATTAAACAACGGGAAAAGTCTCTTTCTCTCAATTGCGTAAAAATTGGAAATAATAATTTTTTCGTAAGGCATCTTTTTTCTGCCACGAAACTTGATTTATCGGTGAAAATTGAAATTATACATGTTCTCTCGCTAACAAAAATTCATTTTTATTTAATAAATAACTTGAAGAGCAAGACAGTCAATTTCCATGAAATAAACTTAATAATCTATCAGGCTAAAAATATAGCTAGACCAGGAAAAATTAAAAACATGCATTCTGCTTTATTATATATTCAAATTCAAAAATTTGACATATTTATTCTATTTTTCTCACATACATTTCAAAGCTTTATATTTTTCGGACTGTTCGCGCGCGCGCAGAACAGTGTCTTTCCAATTTTTCCACAATCTCGTATTCGTGTCTTTCTTCCGTGGGAATAAGATAACCAAGATCGATTAAGTTTCGGAAAAATTAAATTATAATGCGCGATGAAGCGTTTATCACGAGTGATGATCGAATCGCGAGGTGACGCGAGAGAACGATAGAAAAAAATTCGACTCCCTTGGAATTGCGCGGCGAGAGAGCAGATGGACGTATCGATCCATCGACACTCGGAGCTCGAAGCCCTACCGCCGGCTTCAACGTTATACAGTGCGGGCCAACAAATAATACAATTACTATGACGAGTATTCGCGACCGGCCACTAATAAATGTATAAAATAGAAATAAAAATTTATTACGATCCGTATGCTGTACGCGACAACACGCGGTTACACGTTGTTCTATAAACGTTGAGCGATAAATAAAATAGAAATCGCGAAATACTGTGTCGAATCTCGGAATATGCAGCGCGCGCGTTTACTTGCCGCCAAAATCGCGCGAAATATCCTTCCAATTTGTATAATCTGTATCGCCCGGTCTGTTTTTCATCGCCATCCTTCGCGCTGCTCCTCCCCATTCTCTTTTCTCTTGTTCTTATCTGTATTTGTTCTTGCACCAATTGCATTCTAGACGAACGTATATGTTTAGCTGTCCCAGGTTTTTCGTTTTACTTTAGTATACATTTTTAAAATAATTTAAAACAATTATTTGTAACAAGAATATCAAGATATACTAATAATTTTATAATTTTTTACTTGCATTATTTTAATTTACAATGTTTATTAAATAATATGAAAGTTGTTAAAGAAGGAAAGAGGGAGAGAGAGAGAATTATTTTGTGCATATTTTAATTAAATATCATTGTAGAATAGAGTATACATGTATTACATGTTATATATTATTTGTGTGTACGTTATTTATTAGAATAGTATAATAGTATAATATACAATATAGCAGAACTCATTCTTATAATAATATTATTAGATATGCATAAACAAAAAATATTCTAAATAATCAAATTAAATTTACATATAATTAAATATGACATAGACACACACACACACACACACACACATATATATATATATATATATATATATACATACAAATATAACAAATACAAAATTAAATAGAAAAATAAGAGATTCTGAGAAATCGAACATGTTCTCAGGAATTTCATTAAACCGATGCGATAACCTCTTCCCCGAGTCTGCAACTACCGCGTTATTTTTCCGGCGAGTTTCCGAACGCTGATCGCTCGAAGGTTCAGCATTTGCCGCCGATTTCAACCGGTCGATCGCCATAGCGAGAAATAGATTCGCGAATTGTCCAGCCGGTCGCGCCGGCCGGATGTCGACGTATATCGATCCATCGAACTGGACCCGCGAGCTACCGTGTCGCGCGGGCCGTCAGACGTAACGGACAGGATAGTAAAAGCCCTCTGGTTCCAGTTGGTACGACGGGTCCGTTCGTACATCCGTCCGTACGTCCATCCGCTCGTACGTCCGTCAGCCCGTCGGATAATACCAGAGTTCACCTAAATATAACTCAGAAGCGGGGAGAAACGGAGGGAAGCGCGCGCGCGCGCGCGCGTGAGCTAGTCAGTCGGGTGAACGCGAGAGGAGAAACGGGAGGTTGAGCGAGAGAGAGAGAGAGAGAGAGAGAAATGGCAAAGCAGAGGGTGGTAGGGAAAGAGAGAGAAGGGAGGATGGGCGAGACAAGGAGCTCCTGATTCACCGCTACGCGTTCAGCTTGCACGGCCAGTTGCAGCTGCATGGACATCAGCATGGCCATGTATTATTTTGTAGCATGCTTAATATATACGCCCGGAGAACAGATCGGGCCGAATTTCGACCGCGAAACGACGAGAATTCGACTTTCTGTAATTGAGCGCATATATACATACGTTCATATATGTATACACACACACACACATATATATATATATATATATATATATACACACATACATATATCGCACCGCTGATGAACTCCGAGTCGATCGATCGCCGCGTTAAAATCTTGACAAAGCACGTTAATATTTCCCGCGTGTACAGCGCAACACCGCGAGTCGAATCGCCGATCGATTCTCGACCGAGCAAAAATGGAAACGTGCGGTCAGGTTGTCCTGTATTCCCGAATTATTATTATTCTATGTTCTTGCGTAAGACTTTTACGAACTTTTACGAATCGTGAGTTTTAAAGATTTACGACATTTCTAAAAATATAGTTATTCGATAGAAATCATTCAAAGACTCAGTATTAAATTAGAAACATTGATTAGAGGGAACAATATATTTATTTATTAAATCTATTAAACATTTGAGCTTTAGATAAAATCTTACTCTATCTGTTTACATATTCTCTTAATAGTCAAATAGTATATCAAAGAATGTATATAAAAAGAAAATATATGGAATATTTTGTTCTTATGAAAAAATTGAATTTTATATATATGTATATAAATGTAATGCCATACGACGCTAAGATTATGAGAATAATTAGGTGATAATTTCGATAATGCGCTATGCGTCGCTTTTGCAATCATGTATATTTTATCTGGTAATTATGACCAATATAAGAGGGAACTTGAGTTCTCTCTCATTAGCGTAAATTTGCAGAAATCGATTATCTATGCTTACCTATATGTGAAAATTTTTCTAGTTTTATCATTTAATGAAACAAGCTAGATATTTCGTTACAAGTTATGTTACACATTAACTTACAAGTTTTATGCATGCTCTTCTAAATTCATAAAAAATCCTATCAAGCAAAGAATCGCATTTAATTTAATATCGTCGATATTCTTTCTCGTCACTTTAGCGCAGTCATTTGATTGCCAATCATATACATTTATTAATCATCCGCGAAATATTTGATAATGTGAAACGCAAGAGATGTGAATATCGATCACAACGTGTGAGGAAACATTTTCGAAATATTTACGGCAGACGTACGCGTGATTTTAAATTAAAAACTCATGCACCAAGTCAGTATCATTTATTATATTTATTAACTTTCATGATCGTCACGTTACATTTCTAACAAATCACTATACTTTCTCCGAGAAGTCCTCGAGTTCAATCCGATTCACCCTCCAATTCCATTCGCCCGCCATTAGTGTGGCGCTAAGTAACTGGGACGAAAATGCTTGCATATTTATGTGAAATACCTTTAACAACGAAAAACGAGATCAACTTCGATGTAATAAATTCCAACAATTCGCTGCGCATTGCAATCGTTGTCAGCAAATAATAACGTACAAAAACGAACGAGCGCGTCGTTTCTCCGTGACCAAAAAACAATGCGATATTGAAATTTCGATTTTTAATTCAGTTATCGAGTCTCTCTCTCTTTCTCTCTCTCTCTCTCTTTGATATAATAATAATAATAATAATAATAAAGAAAAAAATATCACTAAATATTCTGATAGTTTAAAATTTTTTCTCTTTTAAAAAGTATATGTGCACGAGCATATTGTATTATCTCCGCGGGCTTTTGCTGTATATTTTCATATCTACGCGTGGCGAGAGATTATAATATTCATTAAGATTATGCAGAATTGTTTTCATCACGAGAAAGTATATAATCGTACCTTTAGTTTATCGAGATTGATGTCGAATGCAGCGCACGTTAGGATCAACACCAACAGTATGAAACCAAATTTTCTTCTCCCCTTTATCGGTACCAGTCTAAATCATCTCTTCGAGAATATCGAACCGGTAAAACAAAACAAATATAAATAGATGTACGGTTTTAGAATATCCGTTCCATTTTACTGTTTACTACAATAATTATATTTCACAAATATATATATAATATCTAAGGAGAGACCAGGTTGTCTTATTTAAAAATCATATTATTATATATTATATTATATTCGACCGAATAAAGATTCGAAAAAATCGACGAAAAGATGAATGCAGAAAATAAGAATGCATTTATCAAACGATCTTCCATCGCTGAAAGACGTCGAGAAGTCGTCGTCCGGGGGAGAGATTCTTTGTAAGGGGGAGCTGCGCGTCGAATAATTTGCAGAAAATGTCAAAAGTCTAGCTAGGTACTCGTTAGATTCATTTTCCACGGTGCTCTCGCAAAGCGCAAGACGCGGGCGGAGAACGCCGGTAGCTCTCTCGTGGAGAGCGTCCTTACGTCCCATTCGAAAATAATACGGCGCCTCTCGTTAAATTACCCGCCCGCTCGTTCCGCGCGTAATGCGTCATCCCCTTTCCCTCCCCTTATACCGCCACCATCATCCCTCTCGCCTCCCTCCCCTCTGCCTCCCCCCCGACGTAATGTACATAAATACATTTAATCTCGCTCCTGCTGCCCTCCTGATATTTTTCGAGAGATCGATCGAGCCGCGCGCGGTCCCACATTTTCCCTGCTAATTCCGAGATCTCGTTTGTGAATTTCGGTCGACGTTGGCGCGTTCCAAATTGGTATTGGCGATCCCTGGCAGCGCCGAGTTTCTGGCTCGAGCGCCGGGGGTATGGCAGAAGCGCGCGGCTATAATAAAGGCGCGCCCCGCTCGACCCCGCGTTCCCCGCCGTCCCGTCCCATCTCTCGCCACGAAGCGAAGCTTCGCCTCGCTCGCTCGCTCGCTCGCTCGCTCGCCCGTTCGCTCGATCCCGCTTCGCCGGGTGGCGGCGCGTACCCTCCTCCGACTCTCGCCGCTCGCTCGGAATCGGAAAGGGGAGACCGCGTTGGGGAGCGCGCAGGCGCGAGGGTCGAATGGAAAAAAATCGGCCGGGCTGACGACGGGGGATGGTCGTCGTATCGATCGCGCTAGCATCGGGGACCGAGAGTCTACGCGGGTATAACCGTGAGAGATGCAGCCCGCGATGACGGCGGGGCTCTCGCTATATTTCCTATGTAGAGAGAGAGAGAGAGAGAGAGAATGAATGACGAATCCTGGAGGACTCGATCATTATGACGAACGTATATCTCTCTTTCCGCGCATCGAGATCACGCTCAACTTTCTCCACGTCGATTCTCTATATCGTTACTGTATGTCGAATTAGAATTCCGAGGGGGTAAATTGTGTTCGGTATATCGCTGAATTGAAATCATTCAACGGAGAGAAAATCGCGCCTCTCGTCGGGTTTGACTTCAACTTATTCTCGTTTGCATCCTGCGCACAAGGTAGCACGCGTTGCCGGTCTCGGAAAAAGCCTCATCCGTTTATACGTTCTACAAAGCGCGCAACAAAAGTCAGGGTCGACGTCGTACGAGCTTGTCCGATGTTCCCCGAAGTTGTGGCGCGATGGCGAGGTGGATAGGGACGATATATAGAGAGGAACTCAACGTGCGAGCGAATAGAATGTTGCTAAGGGGGATGACGAGGAGGGAAGCGCGTTCGACGCACGATGGATACAACGGATTAAAAATCTCGGATATTTTCGGCCACGTTCGTCCGCCTCCCCCTTTCTCCCTTTGGATGTAAAATTTATACAAAAATACAAACGCGCGACGAATATTAGCTGACGTTACGTACGTTATAACTGAGAGAGCAGTCCGCGATAAATTCTCGACTTTGTTCGACATTGACTGGCGTTGCATCCGTGCGACTGCAGCGCCGTAATATAATAAAAACTTGTAATATTAATCGTAGCAAAAATCGGATAATTATTCACAATTCTAATGACGCGAGATACGAGAAATAGCGCTAGCTCGAAAATATCGATCGATATCTGTCAATTTCGAAAAATGTCAATTTGCCAAACCAAGAAGCAGGGCCGACTTTAATATCGAGGTGGCCCCGGGGTCACAGTGCCAAGAACCTCATCGCTAATGAGAAACATCAATTTTAATGCCGTTTACTTGCCAGAAATAATAAAACGACAAATTCAAAACTAGAGATTTTTCTAATACCATGTATACAAGATTTTATTGTTTATTTCAAAGAGATGAGAATTTTTATCTAGGCTCTCTTAATCTCTCATTGCAGCCATATTGGATAATGATATCTAACGAAATATTCATATGTGAATATTTTTCTACACGTCGAAATCAATTTCATTTTCTTATATTATGTCGCAATTATTTGATGTAAATACAAAGATTTATGAAAATGTTACTAATAGATGATTGTGAATATTAATCATTTATAAAATCCAATGGCCGTAATAAAAGATCAAAAGCTTTAATATAAATTTCACACATTTTAGACTTGGTGTTTAATTCAAACATAATATACCTATCGACATATAAACTTATAATTTAATCTCACAGTACAAGCAGGAATTTTATTATTACATTCGATATATATTGCGCGAGTTATTATTTATTTATTATAATAGGCGCGATAAATTAAAAAGTAGGATAATTGTAAAAATTATTATCACACGCGAACGGAGCATTGTTTTGCAGAAAGATGATATAATCAAGCAGTTAAATAAATATGCTGGACTTATTCTATTTATATAATTTTACATATACATATGTTTATATACATAGAAATTACTTCAAAGTAATTAGACAAAACAATAATAAAGAACGAATTTTTACATAAAAAGAAGTTAACTTTTTCTCATTTTTAAGATACAGTATATCATACAAGTTAAATGCGATGACTATTTAAAGAATTAACTGAATTATTCAGCTTGATTATGATGATTGAATATACATAAGACTTGAGCAGAATGGTTGTATTAGCATAAACAAAATATGCTCTACATGTTTTTTTCTCACAATATTCTTTTATTAATACAGTTTTGCAGCAAATTTTTAAGACAATAAATGCAATAAAAATTGCTTCGTCCGAAAGATATTTTACTTTATTGGATTATCTTGAAGGTTCCATGTGTATTCTAAACTGCTGCTGTCATCTGCTTGCAAATTGAAAATATCTGTAAAGATAACAACAATGAATGCTCTTACATTTCCCTATATAAAAAATTAGGGAAACAGTAGTCAAAATTTGCTTATTTATCACAGTTTATCAAGAATATTATTTATCCAACAAATATACAAACAAATATTATACGAATTTATAAAATTTATATGACTGAAAAAACAATATATGTACATATGTATACAAGCTGTCTTTAATTACGATGGAAATACAATTTGTACAAAATAAACATACATATTACTTTTTCTGCTTTTTAATTAGAAAATTTAAAAAGAAACCATGCTATTTTATAGAAACTTTATTTTTTAGATTTAGTCGAATCATAATTCTTCAATTAAAAAAAAAACATTTAGAACAGTCAAATTATGTAATAAACTATAAATTTTACATAGTGAGAAAATTTTTCATTTACATATGATTTTGCACAGAACTCTTCTATAAAATTTTAAATTTAATATTTTAAAACAAAACCTGAATATATTGTGTGAGCAATAGTATCTCATAGAAAAACTATTGTAATAATGTAACAAACATACAAAAATAATATTGATAAATTAAATTTAAAGTAAAGGAAATTTAAATTTCTGATAATAAGATTTAGAAAATTAAAAAGTAAAAGTAGACACATATACTTACATTGTGAGCTCTTTCAAGATATTCATTGAAATCTTTTCAATATGACATCCTAAGATTCAATCTCATCTATCTGTAATAAAACGCATAAATTATATCTCTGTGCGTCAGTGATCTGTTATGTACATAGATGTTTATAGAATTGTACGTACATGTCAACACCATAGAGTGATCCTCGCGTTATGTTGGCCGAATGCTTGCAAGTCCCCACATAGTCGCTCATTGTCCCGTGTGTGCTGATGTTATTTCAGATTGGATAAAGTAGGAGAATTTTGTGTGCGCTACCGTACGTACCCCGTTGAGGCCGCGTGGCGTACCGGCGCGTTGCCATTTTCATTTAACGCGTCACGCCGCCGCCGTCGTCGCCACGCGAGAGGCGAGCATTTGGCACACCGCGAATGTGACAGCCGGACCGAACGCTTCGGTTGAGGTCGAGCGGATTCGGTCCTCGTCGGATTTAAATATCGGCCGGAAATAGGACCTCCGTTCACTCGCGCAGCATCGTGGAAAAGGGTGGGAAACGGGGGGGTTGAGATAGAAGGACCGCCGGAGATCTTTTCGGCGACTCTTAAACAGGATCGCGCGCATTGTATCCTCCAACTTGAAAATAACAAAACTGTTATAGCGCGCGTTTTTCGAGATATTTTTATATATTCAAATAGGTTGACTTTCTTATTATGAATACGCTTTTGCATTTTTTTTCTTGAATTTTTTCTTTGATTTTTGAAATTGAGGAAACCTGACTTTGCATTATTCTCTCGCGCAAAGATGCATCTAAATATGGAACGTATTTTATTTGATTAATGTATTCTATTTGATTAATTTGAAATCAAATTAGTCTCTCTCCTCTCTGACTCCCCCCGCCCCTCTCTTTGTTTCTTAATGGCTTCTGAACTTTTCAACAAAAATGTTAAAAGATCAATTTTTAATCAATTTTTTTTTTTTTTTTTTTTTTTTTTTTTTTTTTTAGAGAAAATAGCTTAGAGAAAAGCAACATCTTATCTAATTTAATGAGATGACCTTTTTAATTTTGGAATTACTTAAAAAAAAAAAATATCTAAAGTTGGAAAACAGCAAACTTACGACAAACAATATTGCTCGTTGTTTTTGATAAGGAATTAAAAAAATAAATATAAAGGGAATGAGTCAGTACAGCAAACTTTGTATAATAATCATAAAACACGAAATCATAAAATAACAAATAACCATCGTATTCAAGATGAAATATCAAACATAGTATTCAATATTAAAATTACGTATGTAAAAACATGAATTATCAAGAGTTTATTACAAAATACAAAAACAATAAAACGATAACTCTGCATTTGATTTCTCTCAGATAATTGGTATAGTGCTTTCTATTGTCCTTTGGCCGAGGAACTTTGCCAAATATATATATATATATATATATATAAAAATAGCATTGTTTGTAAAATATCTCTAGAAGCCAAGTACAAATAATAATAGCTTTGGTGGTAGTAACAGTACTGACATAGACGATAAAATCAATTGAGAAAGAAGACGTGAAAGAAAATTGAAGAAAGAATATAGGGTGTCTCAGCCGCTTGTCTCGACGGTAAATTTCGTTCGATATATATTTTGTTCCAATTAAAAATTCGTTAAAGTAAAACTTTACAATAAAATTTAAAAAATAATTATGCATCGGACAAAAAAGAATTAGTATATAATATCTGGCAAATGACCAAGGATGCTACGGACGGCGACTTCTTGGTGCATGAAGCAAATAATATTTATATATATCTTTAATATTATAATAATCAAGAAAATAAGTATATCATACACACATACATATAATAACGCATTTTTCTTTTCATTCTCAATATAAAAAAAAATCGACAAACATTTCTCCTATATAGTTGCCGGCTTGAAGCTTAACAATAAGTTTCATCATTAGCTTTCACATAGATCTGTCGCTATGCTATATTTGTTGATTAGAAACCAAATCATGAGTGTCAAGAAAAATATCGCGAATAAGCGGATATTGTTAGCATATTCGAACGTACATTACGTATGCATATCAAAACAAGAGACCAACAATAAGTCCATTCCGCGAATATATCCGGATATTAAGATAGTCGGTGGTACAGCGGCAGTCGCTGGAAACCGAGCGAGCGTGACTGTACAGGTTCCTCAGGTATGTACGGGCCAGGTGGAAACGTACTTGCGAAGGTAAACGGGATCTCTTCACGCTCGACCTCGTCCCAACTTCGATTCGCCGCAACCAACGATCGACCAATGATCGACGAGAGTCCACTCTCAAATTATCACGTGTTTACGTACACAAGACTGTATGGATTTATTCCTATACGCGACACTATTGTTATTGCACTTTGGTTACATTGGAAATCTATCGCGAAGCGAGTAACTACGAGACGCGTACGTTTTGCGGTTAACCGTGAACTACTACACGGGGTTGTACGAACTCCCGAATGGATAGACTTCATTTGTAACGTAATAGGCCTCACTTAGAGTCGATTACATTTTCTTACTGTCAATATTGACGTATCAGTATTTTTAATATAGGTGAGAAGCATATGTGTTGAATTAAAAATGTCAGGATGTGAAAAATGTAACTTATTTATTTTTAAATATATGAGAGCTATATTTAAAACTGTATATATACTGGCAACAGGAATGTAAACAGGTACAGGAGCTACTAAAACGTTCAAAGATGCATTAAGATAAAAGAAAGATGTTTTACTTAATTATTAATTTTGCAAGAAATAGTTAATCTTGCATAATAATTTTCAGCGTGTGAACTTAGAAGCTCATTAGGCCTTTCGATACAGAATCGCGCGATATGAATCTTCGAAAGTGAGTTAACGGCGGACGTTATTAGTGCGACAAGGTGAAACCCAGGGGCAGAAATGTCTATTGATTTTTCGAAGAAAACTCGGCATCCCTTCTCTTGGATCCGCCGCCGCTAACCTACATTCGAGTTATAGCGGCGGTACAAAGTCTGATAAAACGCGTCCGATAATGAGACTCGCAGCATATCGCGCCGCGATAGGGAAGTATATTACTTTTTTTTTCGATAAAAAAAGCAAGCTTGCCGCGATTTTTCTAATGCGCGTCTGAACTTTTCTTTTCGCTTTCTCCTCCGTTAATATAAAAATATAAGAGAGAGGGAGGAAAGACAGCAAATAATCGTCAGAACGTACGAGTGCGATTCTCGCCGATCGTTCGAATTTCATTGGTTCCGTCGGGCGACATTGCACCCTTTAAACCGTTTTCGGGGGTGAACACGCCAGGATACCGCGAGCGACGGAGAGGGCGACTCGGTCGCAACCCCCCTTTCGTACTCGCGCCGAGGGGGATCGATCCGTGTTCACTCTGCGCACCTACCCCTGCGGCAAAACCCAAATCCGAATCCCGCTCGAAGAGCAGGAGCAGCGCCGGCTAAAATCGCCCGCGTTTTTAGCCGGGACGAATTTTCGACGCGGCACCGCTGATTAAGGCAAGATCATCTTGTACGATTGTCTGACATTTTTGTTAAATTAGATTCATCGAAACCGATATATAATTTCAATGAGTTTAATTAGGTATAGATAGAGGGAGAACAATCTCTATGTTTATTTTCGACAGTGATTTTTTCACGAGTTACAATCTATATACTTGTGTAAAGGAAGAATATTGTAAATACCAAAGGTAATAAATAAATCTAAACTACAATAAATTGTAGTACAATCTTCGTCCATTGTCGCGCAAAATTATCCCCGCTGGTGCAATCTGACTCCACCTTAGGATATTGCAAGAGCGCTATTAGTAAAACGACATTACGTTCTCTTGGGATCGTAGTCATCAAAAAAAGTAGTAACAGAGTGACGACTATATATAAAACACGTAATTATATAATGTGATAAAATATAACGGTAATTATAATTAATTCACTTGGTACGCCAAAGACATCAAATTGCAATAAATAAATAGATTAATTTATCGAAAAAATACTCTTTCTTTTTTTTTATGAGACAGTCGTGAGAGACATTTTGGTTCAGTTGACTTTGGACTAGCTGTACGTGTGTGTGTGTGTGTTATAAATTTCTGCGCGGATAAACCGCGAGAGTTCCGACCGCACACGCGCACTCTGGTCGCTCGCGGAGTGTATCGGATGGTCCACCGACTACCTCGAGTTCGGGCATTCTAGCTAGAAAATTTACAATCGAGTTCGCGGAGAGTTGAAGATTCGCGAAAGGCTATGGTTCCGTGAGGGCGTACGATCGATACGGAAAAGTTCGTCGAAATCCTGAGTAAAGCTTCGCCTCGACTACTATTTCGCGTAATTGCAATCATCAGATCTAGACCGGATCGGTATTCCTCCCTGCGTAATTTCGTACGATCCTCTAGGACAAAAGTTGTCCAGATCAGTTTCACGAAAAGTTGACTCCAGTTTGTCAGAAAATAAACGAAAATTAATGCAACGACATTTTATAGGATAGAAAAGATTTTATTTCACATTAGACTGTATCTATAATAATTTTAGTTCATTTATCCCTGAATTTTAATCATCAATTATATTTATCGTTCTCTTTAGAAATAATTTTTTCGATGAAAAATCTTCAAAGATACGGAGCGCTAAAGAGAACGTAGTTTCAAAAGGAAATGTCTATCATGATCATCTCCAAGGACACAGCGTACGTTCTCTTTCCCTCCAAAAAAAAGAATCTATCGTAAGATGAGATCAATTAATTCTCCCGTATTCTTTATTCACAATATTTATGCGTCCATGTTAATTTTAATATATCAATGATCTTAGATGTAAAAGAATAAATTTTATTTAATATATAAAATAAAATACAAATGATACATATATCTTTTTATATCATCGTACAAATATAATTTTTTTATAAGTAGAAATAAAATGAAATAAGCGCAAGAATTAATGCTAAGAAATATTTTCTATTTTATAAACGTTTCCTTAGATAATTTTCAATTATATAGATTTAAATAATAATATTCCAATTAAAAGTATAATAAATTATGTAACAAACTCTACTTATGAATATTTAACATCAAAAGATTTGATTTTTTATTGTTAGCTTCACGCGTATATTTCCATGTGTAAACGAATAATTGGGTTAAAGAATATCAAAACGAACATCCAATTTCATGTGTTCACCGGACATTCGGTTGCGAGAGATCGCGTAAACGAGAGAACAAGGGAGGATCAACAAGCGTGGGTGGATGGGGGAGGTAGAAAGTTGTCGATGATCAAATAATTTTCAGGAATCGCGAATAAATCGAGGGGTTTGCACGTTCGGCTCGTGTGCATTTTCGAAATTCCGGCCGAGAGAAGAGAGCCATTTTACATACGGAATTAACGTTGCGCACGCATACATACTATATATGCATTCGCACTGCATGTATATAACTATTCCAATATAAACGAATCGAATACATAACTCGAAAGTCCATTCATTGTGGCATTCATCTCGATATACATATACGCTGTTCATGCATCATCGATGCGTAAAAATGCACCGGATACGCCACCTTCTGACGTGTCGCATCTTTCCATTATGACGTATTAACAGGACGAATTTGGAAATGTATAATTCGAAACGGATATATCCTGCGAGTATACATGTGAGTTTGATCTTTCTACACTGACGAGTAATCCGATGAAACGAGTGCGCAAAAAACGATGAAATCGCATCAACTAATAAACTTTGTAATTATCTACTTTAAAAGATTAAATCGTCATCGTAATGCGACATGATATAATATTATAAAACTTTAATTTTTTAAAAAATATTAGACGGTTTAATATTAGCTATTACGCTAGCATTTACAACGTTGTACATGATAACAATTTGTTCGTAAAGATCATTTTTATAAGAATATGACAATCCTCTCGCTCTCTCTCTCTCTTCGTCTCTTCCCATTCGCCCATTTCTTCAATTATAACGTCGCGCATCGTTTGGCTCCTCCATTTTTAAAGTGCGGAATACTCCGTACTTCAATATCCAATTCTACTGAGAAACGTATTTTCTGAATTATCACATTTCCAGCGAAAGACGAAAAACAGATAGAAAATGAAAAAAGAAATTCATTATTTTAATTAAATAATTTGATTTTTTTAACTTTGAAGATTACATAAATGAATATCTTACGTAAGAGAGATATAACGAGACTATAAAATAAAATTTTTATAAATACATGAACTCGACTAATAAATGTATTAAAGGGGCAATACATTACACATTTTCTTATTGTTTTATTATTAAAAAAATGAATAAACCGCTCCGTACAAATTCTTGTCTGTCGAGACAGATATAATTTTATATTACGTAATACATTATATAATAATTTATAAATGCTCTCTCTCTATAAGAGGCACGTGTCGCTCGATGGTTTACGTTGCAGAAAATCTCGCGGCTACTGCCGGATTAACGAGAGGATCCGTGCGGTATGCGCATCTCGACGTTACATCTTCGTATTTTGCGCCGTGGGCGTTACACAGCGTGTCAATATATTTTTCTCGCCGCGTTCCGGTTTGTCCGCATTTCGCGTATAATCTAGTGACGTCGGCGGGCCGGTATCGCAGTCAGCTGACATTACGGTTAGTCGGTATTCGCGAGTCTGGTTGGTACTACAGAATGTCGATGATAGGCCACCGCCGCTTTTATCCAGCGGAATTGCGCCCGTCGATAATTCGTAAGGGTGAAAGGCGGGAAATGGGGGAAGAAGGAAGGGCGAAGAAGAAGGTGACAGGAAGAGAGAGGCGGACATCGGCGAGAGGATCCTCGGGACGCGCAGGGGATGGTGGAGAATAACGCGAGCGGATGGAAGAACGGGGGAGGATGTGCCGAGAGGAAACAAGTAGGGGTAGTAGAACGCGTTTGTGAAGAGAGAGAGAGAGAGAGGGAAGTGGAAGGGTTTGAGTGGTAGGAGGGAGGGAAAGCGAGATGAAGGTGGGAGATGAGCGAGGGATCACACGGGGAGAGATGGAGAGAGAGAGAGAGAGAGAGAGAGAGAGAGAGAGAGAGAACGGGTCCTGAGAGGAAAAGGGGTGGGTTGGACGATGTCATTTTAGATATTCGATGGAACCTGCACTGTGCGAGCACGTTGGTAATACCGCGCACACAGACGGTGCAATAAAGAAAAGGATGTCTGGAAAGAGTAGGAATTATACACGGTTGACGCGTGGGAGATTGGTTCTGTGACTTCTAATTTTAATTATAAGAGCAAACTCGCGATGTGTATAGAGGGCAACTTGTTATTTGATACCTGTGTTATGCCATGCACTCTCGTTATACTATACGCGTACGCAAAAATCACAACTGCTTGAAACTCGTTAGAGTCCATCATACTGACTCGTACTTGCTCAGTCTCGCTCTTCATCCTTACCCAAACTTTGTTCCTCTATATCTATGTTATGTCAGGGACTATAATTTAGAAAGAGATGGAGAATTTCCCTATTGAACTTAATTAGTTGGGATTTTCGTTCAAGCTTTGTTACGTAATTACAAAAAATCCTAGCTTTTCGAAACCTATTAGATTGATTAGTTCTAACATCGCCAGGAAGAAAATATTATTTTTCTATTTATCGTGTCACGGAGATTATATTTTACAAAAGGACGGAAATCGCTGTCTCTGTACAATTAATTAATCAAGGTAATTTGGAATGTACATATAATCTTCTAATATAGTTGAAAAAAAATGCAAATAGAAGAAAAATAATTTGTTAACGAAAATACTAATATAATAATGAATATTACACGGTCCATCTAAAGATATTAAAAATAAACAAAAAGAATATTAAGTACATAGGGTATAATATGGTAAATTTCACGAGTCTCGATACAATGTAATTATTTCATAATCATTTAAAATTCCACTCTTTCTCTCCCTCTCTTTCTGTACATTTTTCTCAATATACACTCATTACACATTCGCAAACATGTATTTACGCAATGTAACGTATACATGCGATTGCAATGGAAGAAAGCACTTAACTGATTTATCCTAAGCAAATACTGCTTTGCTTCGTACATTATGAACAGAATGAATAGTACAATGATGTGCCTTCTAATTGACTTGATGTATGTTGTTTTCATCAAACTCGAGTTTTCATATAAATATTTCTTTCACGAATAATGAATGGCAGCCTCAAAAAGACAAATATTATATACATCCAAAGCTTATATACAAATATTTTTACAATATTTACTCCCATATCCGTTTATCTCGTGACGCGCGTTGTTACATGCGCTGCTAATGTTATTACACGAAAATAATGTATACGAAGTGACTTTTAAATAGTAGGAAACTATGATTTTTATTTATTTATTTATTTTTTTTTTTTTTTTAAGAGACGTACATTTAATCGACGACTTTCATCGACGGACTTTTGTCCACAACATTTGTGCGCCACGCGTCCAACAGTCACGCGACATGAATTATCGTCCGACGAGATATATTAATGATCTTTAGTTATTCGCGCCGCGCGCGATCGAACTTAAAACCCGGCGGGATGAAATTTACCGTAGGTCATGGTGGACCTTAACCGCACGCTTCTTATTAACGATCTTGCTTTAAAGGTCCGTAGAGTACGCCTCTTACACTTGTGACAAATTACACTCGCTATAAGCTTGGTAATAATAACAATGATCTCAGAAGGAAGAGAGCGATTCGAGAGGGAGGAATCGTTTATTCTGTATCTTAAGACACTCTTTCTGGTAATAAATATTAGTACAGAAATATTGAATGTGTAACGTGAGAAAATAACTTATGACTAATTACTAATATATTTATAAGTGATTGTCAGTCGTGTAAATCGATTTTTATAATTGATATATTAATTGACACGTCATAGCAAGTCGTCATCTTTATGTCATTCTCTCTCTGCTGTTTATCATCTAAAATCTCAAAAATGATTAACTAAGTTTCAAATTATCTGTCTGCACATCACGATATTTAATATAAATAAAAAGAAAAAGATAAAAATTGATCCTCTCGGAAAAAGTGTCTATAATATGTTCAAAAGAATTTACGCGTCACATACGTTATTATAAATACTTTTGGCCATTCGCGAAAACGAAGGCAATTATTTATGACGCTTGGTATCTCATTTACATGTCACTTTCGCTTTGAACCTCTCGATACATTGATTTGTCCGTCGAACGTATTTCGATAAACCGAATTTCGCAAACGATTCTGTTTACACAGGGGGGCGCGAATACCGGCTGCGTCAGAGAGCGAATACGAGAAAGGAAGGGGGAGAAAAAAGAGAATTTCCTTTCCCCCGCCGGCGGGTTTTACTCTCTTCCTCTTCGCTAAGTCCGAAGCGTGCCAAACACAATCGGCCGTTCGAAAACAATTTCGCAAGCCGATACATATCTCGGCGCGGTAACGGAGGAAGTCGACCTCCGAGAGTAAAGAGTGCCCGGGGATTCCGAAAGCGCCTCGTCTCATCTCACCTCGTCTCGCGCCGCGCCGTCCCGTAACGACGGAGACGGCGATAAAAGCGGAGCGGTGGCGGGCGAATCGCACGCCCTCGTAAATAGAGTCGCGGGTCCATTCATGAGTTCGGCCAGAGAAGCAGCCACGGCGCGCTCGTGCGTACACGCCGGAAAAGTCTTTTTCTCGGTGTGTTTTACGGGAGGTCAGGGTTACAGAGGCGGAAAGAGAGGACGAGGGGGGAGGCGGTGCGGAGAAGGCGGTGGGTCGAGAGTTTTACGTGCGACTACCACGGCTCTCTCCGTACAATATTCGTACGCGCCCTCATTTTTTCTTTTTTTTTTCTATTGTCTTTTTGTATGCACCAGCGTCGTTTCGCGGGTAGAAATTAATTCCGAGCGATGCCGCCAACTATCGCGGACCGTTTCCGCACGAATGATGCGCGAAAGTTTAACCCGGATCGGCTAATTGGATCGTTCATCGGCGCGATATATCACGGTGTTCGGTCAATGTTACAGAGACAATCGAAAGTGAAGAAGTCGAAAGCGGAAATTACATCCGAATAGTCATATTATACATATATAGTTGATTTTATGCTGAAACATGTAAGGTTCGATAAATTTTGTACGCTTTATTGCAATTCATTTTTGATAGTTTTGACACTTTTTCAAGTTTCCAACTTTATGTGCAACCATTCATACAAACGTACGCGTACACGTGCGCGCGCGCGCGCATTCGGTGAATAATTAGTGTCTCGAAACAATAATAATATATTAAATCGATTTCGACTAAATAAACTTAACAGTAATGAGAGTAGGAATTGTTAAAACGTAACGAAACACACGATTTATCACTTGTAATGAGAGGTTCAGCTGCCTCTTCGTGTAATTTCGCGAGATATTTCAACAGTTTCAACCGTGAGAGAAACATGACGTTGCTTGCAAAAAGTTCAATTTTTCGCATGAAAGACAAATGTTTACGTTTAATATTATATCAATAATTGTACTCATATATACGGTATCCAATAAGAGAGAAAGAGAGAGAGAGAGGAAAAACATTGCTCCCCCTAATATTTTCTTTTCTAAATTAATGAAAAGTGTACACACATTAATACTTACACGTTCGCTTATTCTAGAATTAATATTCGCCAGAGATTGCACCAGAGATTTTTCGTTATTTAGCATTTCAATCGCACCAATTTTTATTAAATATTGTTTCTCTCGCATATCAAGCCGGCTAATCTGAAAGGCAAAGTATCGACACATAAAAATACGTACATGTATAATGTACGAAAAATAATTACCAAATCGATAGCTCGAGCAAATCGTAATCTCTAATCGCACGTGTATGCCATTACGACGTTCTTTCGCGCTCGTGTTCCCGCAGTCGAGATAGACTCTGAGCTTCGAAGCGACTTTATCGCGGATAAAGATAGCCTTATCACCCTCGACGCGTTGATAAGACGCGTCGCGTGTAACGGCTGTCGACGTACTCGCGGCTTCCTTTCTCTCTTTCCGCTTTATTAACGATCATCTTAGGATTATAATCACCCACGTATACCCACACGTAGACCCCCAAGATTTAGCCCACCGGAAAGATATCCATTATTGATACAATTTGAGAGATTGAGAGCGATAATTTGTTTTGATTAGTACTTTTGTATCTCGCACAACGATATCTATTTGCTACAAGATATAGAGTGACGAAGATATCGAAAGCAGGTTTATCTTATAGCGCTGTCGATTATTAGGTTTTAATCGCTGTCGCAAAAAAAAAAAAAAAAAAATATATATATAAAGGCTTAATAAGTATGTACAAGTGATATATCTAACGCATTACTTTTTTTTTTACAAAAACTATTAAAAATTAGTTTATAAAATAAATTCTTGAGATTTTTCATATACCAAAATAATTACTATATTAATAAAAAGCAATGATATTTCTCACATAAATCATAAAATATTGAATATACATTAACAGAAAATAATTGGCAATAATTATTTCATTTATAATAAATGAGATTAAAAAATCTACTTCATATAATCCGTAGACAAAAGAAACGCGACAACTCTCGGGTACTCTCCGTAAAATACTCCAAAGATGCAAATTTGTCTGTATCTCTCTATGTATGCAAATACTTTTCCCGCATATTTCTGCATATCTTGGCAATTGACATTCCCTGATAACTATAATCTGCATTCACGTGTAAATTCATCAGTCTTTACTGTATATACTTGTTAAGAATATGGTTCTTCACTGTCAAGACTGTACCTAATTATCCGAAAGTATGAAAAAGCAAAGTATCGGATACCATCGAATATCGCCAGGCGCCCTGGCTCTCAATTAAGAATATTTCGTCCTGATTGGTCGTTCGGCCGTCCCTCCCTGATTGCTCTTGTATTAGCGCTCTAAGTCATGCGCCGATAACAATCAGCACGAGCCGCTCTCGGCGAATGGAAGTCACGCGTATGCACGAGCTGTCGAATTAACCGATTAGCCTACAGCACCTGTCATCGTCCCCGGATGTCGGTGTCACCGGCGCGCCAAGCCGGCCTGTGTTAACAGGTGCCTTCGATTTCGAACAGTGCTGTTCGATTCGAGAGAGGCTAGAATTTTATCTCGTACGAAAGAGAAATTATATATCTCTATAACTACATTCGCGGGTCGAAAATCGTATTATCGCTCGCTTTTTTTTTTTTTTTCATCTTTGTACGTTCACACATTAACTAATTAAATATATGAGATTAGATATTTTCACGGATAAGCGAAAATATAACGAATTTATGTCGATTGTATCAGTATTTATTGAAAGTGTTGCGATTGCTATATGAATAACTAAAGTGCAATCCGAATGGGGGAAATTATTAATACTGTCAGCGCGGGGGTGCACTCTCTTTGATACTAGCTGACGCTGCTCATCTCGATGGGGCTGCGAGAGAGATGTGTTTACGAAAGGCACAACTTTTGGCCGTATCGCGGAGGCGAAAGGCGAGAGTGGCGGGAATGGCGGGAAAATTGAGCCAACCGTCCTATGATATATCTTGCTGCTACACCACATCACCTGTAATACGGTTTTCACCGGCTCTTTCCCGGAGTTACAGCTAGGCAGAATCGTGCCATAACTGTACACGAACAACGCGCGGATTTCGCGTCGGTTCGACAATTCATATCGATATAACGCGCGTAATATTTAGTATTTCGAGTGTAATTTTCACGAAATTATATATACGGAGAGAATTTTCTCTTAAAATTTATCCTGAAAATCATGCTAATCGTAGGACAATATAGTATCGGAAAAATTTTATAAGAGTTTCTATGATTAATATTTGCCACAATAAAAATGTAATACGTACATGGTAAAATTAATCGCACATATTTTATATATCTTATTATATGGTAAATATTAAACGGAGAGAAACTCTTATAAAATTCTTCCAATACCATATTGTCCCGCGATCACCATGACTTTCATGGTAAATTCTAAGAGAAAATTCTCTCTCTGTGTGTAATTTGAACTCTCATTGCAAAGCGCTTGATTTTTGTCAAAAATAAATTAAACATTTAATTACTAATATATAATTTTACGAGGAAAAATTTGAAATAAAATTAAGGAACAGCGATTTCTTTCTTGCGATACGTCCTACATAAATTACAAATGCATATCGGAGTACACATGTAAATTTTAATATAAATATTTACTATTTTGAAAGAGAGAGAAAACGCCTTTTCTGGATACAAACACCCTTGCAGGCTAATAATATTCATTTGCATAACTTCTATGGGATATATTCCTCTTTTTCGAATTTTATTTTTTAATAAATCAGATATTTTTTCCAATGAAAACTATTGCTTTTTTTTTTTTTTTTTTTTGTAGAAAAAAAAGTGCGAATGGTTTGTAATATAGGGATTAATAAATAAAGAGACTTTGTTTTTAAACTGCTCTTTCGCGCGACGCGTCGAGCAATTCTCGTCGTCTACGTAAAGAAGCATCGGTTTAAGAATTCAGGCCGGAAGTGCAGCAGCACACAGGAGTCGCAGCTTTCGAAGACGATCGTAAAGCGTCCCGTCAGATCTCCGGCGTTTCCTGATCCCCACCGCGGTATCCTTCGCCGAGTAGCTTCGCCGAGGCATTAACGAGCGCTCCTAGTCGACGAGAAAGTTTAGCGACGTCTGTGCGCGGCAAATCTCAACGAACTGAATTCTGTGCACCTTTATAAGCGATAGGTGCGCTAGGAAAATATACCGACATTATATTCACTCATATATACATGTATAATTCATTTTTACAATCTGAAACCACAAAATGACATTAATGGATCTCCCTCTCTCTCTCTCTCTCTCTCTGTAGTCGCAAGACGCTGAATTATTTCCGGATGCAGCAAAGAAACAATCTTCCCACTTATAAAAATATTACTCGCGCGATAAAGGTATAAATAATAAATGAAAATATATCATCTCGCTTGATAAAAAGAATGAACGGTTCGCGGAACGTCCGACAACAAAATACAAAATTTGTGAAATACGAAAACAAAGGGGGGAGCAAGGAGAAAGAAAAGACGTGGGCGGAAGCGCGTATCGTGCCAAATTCTAAATTCCCTTCCATCTCGCGGGCGTGCATGCGCGCCCCGCGTTCGAACAAGGCTCTCGCGTCGCCGCGACCTCGCGTCCAGAGAGAGCAAGGACATTCATTGGCCACAATTCATCCGTCGTGACGTGGGCCAGCCAATCGTAAAACGCTCTTTCCTCTCCGGATCGTCATCGCCTCGTGCATCGCGCAAAGGGCCGCGTGTGCATAGATATCGCGCCGGCGATATACATGTATGTATATCGCGCGTGTGTGTATATGCATATACGCGTCGGATAAAGTCGGATTCGAGCGACGCGCGGCAGTTTCCGCGCTCGGCAAAGTCCGCGCATTCTCGCGCCGCGGCCAGTTAAAAGTTGCCGCTCCGCTCTCTCGAGCTCCGTGGCGTCAGCCGCGGTTAACAACAACCGGACAGCACGTCGAACCGGCCGACGGAATCGTCGACAGCTCGCGCGCCTTTTGCCCGATCTCGCTTCAATATTTCATCTCGACCTCTTGCACTTTTATATAATACATTATTTTGTCGCGCTCCATCGGCAGATTTTTGTCGAATAATTTTCATTCGAAGCTTCGCAAGTCAGAGAGAGAGAGAGAACATTTATTATTAAATTTATTTCATCAAAGAGTCGTATTGTTGCGGAGGATGAAAATTCCGAAAATTCCAAAGAGAGAAAAAGAAATGATCGGGATTATATTTGAATAATATAATATAATGGAAAGAAGCTTCGCTCGAAAATATCCAAGGGACGTCCCTCTCGCCTGACATTTCCAGCGTCGCCGTCGCTTCCCGAAGAGAAACCGACGTACGTGCGTTCTCTCCGAGCGCGCCTCGCCAGCGAGAGAGAAGCGGCCGCGCGCGCTCTGCCTCGCGGCCGCATACGGAATGACGCGCAAAATTCGCGGAATCGGCCGACGCGGGGAGGTCAGCCGATCGCGGAACGACGGCGCACGACCCCCGGCGTCCTTTCGCCGTCGCGGCGTCCCGCGGACGCGCCCCTTTTATCCGATAGGGAATAAAAATGTTCCCGGTGAATTTTCTTAGGCTGCGCGCCGTATCGAACCTGGCTCGCGCGCGCCGCGCCGCTCCGCGCGTTGTCTGCTCGCCCGCCGAGGCTGCCTCGCCACGGAGAGAGCACCTCTCTCTCTCTCTCTCGCTCGGTCGCCTCTTCCGCTGCTCGCCGTATGCAGCCAGCCAGTCAGTGGCGAGTGTTTCGAACCTAGTGGCGTTAGGCCGACTCCCTCGTGCTCGGGGGCCCCTGTATCGGAGAGACCGAAGGTTCCCCGGTGAAGGCTGTCGCTCGCCGCTCTCGACTGCGCGCCTCCGAGAGAGAGACTCTATACCTTGCTTGTCGTGCGTTTAAGGCTGCGATCAAAATTTACACTATATATATATATTTTTTTTTTTCTCTCTTGCATCGAATTGAATTTCTCCTTTCAATTAAATATTAATTTCCCTTTTCCATGATATTACATAGCTTACATGTGTGCTGTTAGGGATATCATCTTTATTATCGACTATAATGTAATATTGTCGTACAAGGGGAGAGAATTTCGTCGAATAACGATGATTCCCGATTTTCTCGCGATTCGGTGGAGAACGGAAAAAAGACGGAAAACGTAGTTGGCGATTACCTTGCAAGGTCCTGGTGGCGCGATTGACCGTGCTATCTCGGTCGTCTCGTAAGATATTAAGCAGCGCCGCGACGAGGCTGCAATCGGCGCGATCTGCGCATGGGACTGCGCGAAGTCATTTCGAGCTTCTGCCGTTCCTGCGTATTCGTTGAAATATTTCAGCGGACGTCGCCGCGATCCGTTCTCCGATAACTTTCATCGACCGACCGCGCTATCGCGGGACTTTCTCGAACAGACGAACGATTTTTCTCGATCGCGCCGCGGACCTTTCTTGCGAGAGAAGGATATTTAATATCGCGAAGCCGGTCCGTTCTCTCCTCTCCTCATTCCTTTTCCGACAATCCGATATTTTTCTCCCCTAGTCCTCCCGCGCGTTAATAAGCTCCGCTAATCATTCGACGATAAAAGCATTGTTTATATCTGAAAAGCTGCGCACTTGGACAATGAATTTCCTTTCGCGGGCGGTCAGAGTGACATAAACAGTCCTACGGTATTCAATTCGATATTAATTATGTAATTAATTTGCCCCAGCGTGAATGAAACGTATCCTTTCATTTATATATCAGTTACAGCGATACGCCAACAATATGGCATTATTTATATACATATATATATATGCGTTTGGCGAACGATCGACCAATTTTTTTTTTTCAAAATTCACAAACGACGCAAACATATGTTAGCGCGTTTGACAAGTATCGCTGAATTTTTGCATCAACTCGTCGCATCCATTACGACGGCGAATCGCGAGATGAAAAAAAAAAAAGTCGGAAACGATCGTACGTCGATTTTCGTCGTAGAACGAAATCCAATGGACAAAGCTCGCGCGCGTCGGGGGCGCACCGTCGGCCGTCTACGTCACTGACGCTCGTGTCGGAGTGCAGGTGGGCCGAGCGCCGGCGGAAACGACCGAGCGCGCGTTCGGGGGAAAACCGAGCGGCGCTACTCGGCGAGGACTCGACTGTTGTCAGAGTGTTCAGTAATGCTTCGCATGGCCAGCTAGATACACTAGTGTGTGCGTCGGTGACAGTCGCGTTGTCATCTGTTCGGAGAGTGATCGTGCGATGTTACTCGAGGAGCTAACCGGGCTAGATACCGGCGGCCGACGCGTACGTCGAGCAGTGAATTTGTCGTGAGACTGTGAATTTTCCAAAAGAAACATACGGAGGAAGAAAAAAAAATATATATATATATATATACATATATATACATGAGAGAGAAGCGTTGTTATAACGGACACGTATATATACGGGACACAAGTGAGTGAGACACGGTGCGAAAGACAGAAAGAGAGAACTCGTCGTCGTGTAGTCAGGGCCGAAGGAACTTGGATTCGTATCCCGGTCGTTCGTTGACGTTCGTTTGTTTCTTTTCCTCTTTTTTTCTCTCTCTCTCTCTCTCTCTCTCTCTCCGTTTTTCGCGAAAACCAGAGTCACGCGCGGAGAGGAAATAAAGACGGACCGTCGCGGGTAGCACCGTGTACGGCAGTGCAGCAGCAGCAGCAGCGTACCAAGATGCTGTCGTCAGTGTCAGCGAAATAATAATGTGGTGCGACGTCAGTCAGGTGAGTTTCGCGCGCGGTTCCGCGGCGCATCGTTTCTTCTCTCTCCCTCTCGCTCGCTCGTTCGCGGCCGCCGTCCTTTTTTCTCTCGCAACCCCTCTATCTCCTCCCCCGGTGCGTTCCCTTCTTTCGGCGTGTGTACGACACGCGTGTGCCGCGCGCGTTTCGCGCCGGTCCTAAGGATTACGCGATCTTCGCGCTCGTCGGGACTTTAATCTCTCTCTCTCGATAGGAGCCTCGGCTTTCTCGCCAATTTCCTCCTTCGATTCGCTCCGAAATTCTCGCGGCGAACCGCGCCCGCGAGACGAGCGTCTTCGAGTTTCTCTCTCGCTCTTAGATTCCCCGTTCTTGAAAAATCGATCGACGTTTCCCGCACTCGCTCGCTCGCCCGCTCGATTTCTCTCGGGCCCGTTGGCGCGAAAAAATCGCCCTCGGCGCGCGCGACCAGCACGTAGGACATCCAAGTGTCAGATTTGACGCGTGGTAACCTCGTGTTCGGTAGTTTGAATTCGAAGCGATCCCGCGTTTCCTTGGCCCGGCGGGGGGGAAAGGCAGGAGGGCGGTCACAAGGGGAAAGAGGATGACGAGGCGAAGCTCGACGAGGGGGAACGACGAGGTGGCTTGTGTGGGTCGTGGAGTCAGCGGGCTGCGGGAGGGGACGGAGCGAGCGACAGCGGCAGCTTGATAGCGCAATGGAGCGGCGGTGGGGGGCGGGGGGGGAGGAGAGAGAGAGAGAGAGAGAAAAGTGGTGGTGGTGGCGAGAACGCCGGGGTGAAGGGGGAGAGGGATCGCCCGAGGCTGCCTCTTCTTCGCTTGGCCAGCGCCGCGAGGAAACCTAGCGTCGGTTCGGAGATGCTAGATGGGGGTACGGTTATAACCAACCATCAAGGGGCAGCGTCGCCATGGTTACCACGACGACAACAACCCGATCTGGTCTAGGGGGGTGTTTTTAAAGACATATTCGCTTTTGCCGCGTCTCCCGCTCGCTCTTTCTCTCTCCCATTTCCGCCGTTCTCTCTATTTTATACCTCCCTCTTTCTCTTTCGTTTTAGTCCTTTTTCCATTTTCCCCGCCGCCTTTCCCGCCTCGCCTAGCGATTGTTTTTCGTCACGAGGTCTTTGAGCGGCGAAATGTTTTGCGACAAAATCGAGGGAGAGGGGCGCGATATCGTAATCCACAAAGAGAGAGAGCGAGTCATAATTTTGCGCCATCCGAATTCTTTTTCGAGATCTTTCCTCCCTCCGAGAGGTTACTGTCATTATTTACTTATTATAGACTCGATCTATTAATCGTCATGTGCGGCCCAAAAATGTCGTGCCGAAGTAAAATCTATTGTACAGATTGAGATCGAATTCGGCACTAATCGAAGTAAGAAAAATTATTACGTTAAATTTTATATAAAAATACATGCGTCTATTAAATCTCGAAATTGACCGAAATGTTAGGTTTTCGATTTTTCGTTCAACCTTTTTTTGTCGACTTATTATTCTCGAGTTTGAAAATTGAAAATCGACCTGTCACGCTGGTTTTCAGTATCGAAAGTAAAAAAAAAAAAATGACTGCTCCGGATTACCATAACACTTCAAATGTTTTAACCGCAAGCCCTGTTTTGTTCGAACCATTACGTAGTCTACTTTTCTAGATTCATTTGTGTGAAATTGCACCGTAAATGCATACATTTACACGATTTGCTTTTGATGATCATTTCGGGCAAAATCATTCAAAGCAAGAGGATTACTGCAAACAGTATTTCAAAAACATCGATCATCCATTGATCATCCATGAAATGCGGTAGCGTCATCTTTCACCACTTTGTTCGAATCATCATTTACAACAGAAGCGTGTAAATAGCGCGTCAAATGATTTTCCAGACGGTTCAAAAGTTTTTCGTGTACGAATGCGGACGTTGGCACGTCGGGTGTCCCCGAAACGGGATCATTAGAATGGAATTGGCTTTTCAAGATTTAAAAGTCGTCAAAAATCTCTCGACACGTTCAAACTAATAGACAAGAGAGTTTTCTCTTAGAATTTACCCTAAGAATCATAATATTGAAAGGATTTTATGAGTTTCGCCGATTAATATATCTACCACAATAATGAGATGCAAAATTTATGATCGACATTAGCGTGGTTTTCAGGGAAAATTCTCTCTGTGCGTAGGAACGAATATCTTGATATCATTTTTTTCGTCTTTTTATCGTAAAAGAAAGCGCTCGACGATTCCCTTGTTTAGCGCAAGTGTGATTTTTCGAGTATAACGGGCGTGAAATTGGCGCGTGGACGCAGAAACGGACGCGTCTACCAAAATTCGGGTGGTGATAAATCAGCAGTGTCTAGGGGATGAAGGCGGGGGTGGGACGGGGAAGAGGTGGAAGAGAAGGATAGAGAGGAGGAGGAGAGGGTTTTTCGGCGTTTCCGACGGCCGGTGCGCCATCGGTGGCCCGATGACCGACAAAACCAGCAGTTTTTCCACGTGGTTTCGCGTCGTACGCGACAAAAGGTTGTCTCGGTGTGTGCGTGTTTGTTGGCGCATCGTTGAACTTGGACGAAAAATTCGTGCACCCGCTCACTTAAACCCTTCACCCTGTCAAAATCGACGAGTTATTCGCAGTCGCTCGATCGCGTCGTACAAAATCATTACGTTTACTAGAAAAGTAGTAGCGTATAAATACACTTCTCTCGAAGGAGAGAATCTTCTTTTGGAATTTACTCCGAAAATCGAATGATAATCGCGGGACAATATGCGTAAGAGTTTCTCTCCGATGAAACATTTACCACAATAAGATGTAAAATTTTATCAAATTCTTCCAATAACTGTCTGTCCCATGATTACCGTGATTTTCAGGGTAAGTTTTAAGAGAAAATAATTATAAGGTGAAAAGTAACGAATACACTATGTTGGAGTTTTACAATTTTTGTAAACCGTTATTCTTTCTTAAATACTCGAGAGAGAGAGAGAGGATGACGATTATTCTTAACGTAAACTTCTCGCTCTCTTTGTCTGGGATTAGTTTAGGACGCGGAACAAATATTATGACAAGTTTTTGTTTCACGTAAATACTCTCGTAACTCTGCGTTCTTTTATGTTACGTGCCGTGGATTGGCACGTGTGCCTAACGCTCTTTTGCTCTCGAACTGTTTCTTTAATTTCTGTCGATGTAAATAAACTGCTAATTTTTCGCGTTAAATACGCGCGTGTTGATCCATCAAGCTCTTTTAATAACATTTTATCGAGACGCGCGCTTATATAAACATCAAAAGACCAGCGAGCATCGATTCATCAGAGAGTGTGCAACTTATATGTGACATAACTCCTCCGCGAAATCTATTTTTGTTCACGATGTATTTCCGTATATTATCGACGTAAGCGGCATGGCGGATGCTGGACCCAGTCGTTCGATTCGATGCCGAGAGGCAAACCGCTGACCAAAAACGTGTACGCTAATTCGTGTAATATAGTCGGTATATTGCAATACTAGAATTACTCTCGCTCGATTAGTCGATCAAAATCCATATTCATTTCCAATCGTTGAAAACGATCAAAATGACAGGAGACCGAGGGAATATATTTTACATTATCTAGTAGATGAAGTTTATACGCTTCAAAGTCCATGTATACGCGTGTGCGTATGACAATATCCTCCCTAAACGAAATAATATTTAATTCTTGGTGGAGAGCTGTGACACATACGTGCTCACAACGCCACATTTACGCTCTCGAAATTATATTTCAATATTACATCGCGGGATAAACTCGCGTTATAAGCTCGCCTCGGACTCCTCGGCGGATTATTTCGGCCGATCGAACGCGCGTGTGTACGTACGTACATATATACGTGTTAGCCGGTGTTGCTGCATGCATGCATGTCGCAAACGGTCCGTCGGCGCGGCGAGTCGGCACAAAGTGAGTCCAAGTTTCCCCTACCTCCCTCCGTGCACCTCCGCGTCCTTCGCCCCTCGCGCGCCCACCATCACGGGCCATTAACGAGAGAGTTATCGACGCGCGATCTGTCAATAGGCTTCTCCCATTCATAAATTCGCCGGGCCGGCGTGCGGCCGCCGCCGCCGCATAGTTTTGCCGCAGAAACCACGTGGCGGCGGCGGCGGCGACCACGAGACGCCGTACCGATGGACGGACGGACACCTCCGCCGTTACGCTACGCGTAACCGGGCTGCTCCCGCTCTAACCGCGTGATTTACGGCCGGCCTCCCCGTTTTAAATGCATGGGGAGCAGCCGACTGAGCGTTCCCGCCCGAATCTTATACTCTCTCTCTCTCTTCCGCGACTGCGTGGCAAATACTAATCAGTTCTAGTTCGGAATATTAATACCACCAAGTTCCTCCAAATTTTTTCGAAACTTTAAACACGTCCGTACATAGTAATCGTGAGACAATAACAATTAATATCTACCGCAATAAGATACGTTGAATTCATTTTATCATGTACGTATTCATATTTTCTGACACTTGTGATAATTATATTTAATTATGGTAAATTATATCGAATGATGATGTAAACATTTTTGTGAAAAGAAAAAATCTCACTTCTTCACAACATTATCACATTTTACTTCCCTTCTGCTTCTGCAATCGATAATTTTGTCCGATATCATATCCACAGATTGAGCAGTATTGCTAACAATGTTGAGTCGGCGATCTTCCGACGTAGCTTCGCAATTAACTTTTGCTCTTTGCTTGCGCATCTCGCGCGTGTATCGCAATGCCGGGTAGAGGTTATCGTCGTTCTACAAGTTGCGCTTTTCGACCGATGATATACGCGCGAGAATAATTTAAGTATAGCGTCGAATTCAAATTTCGAAATCAGAGCGTGTTCGCGTAATGAAAAGTTAAAGGGAATTCTGGTTGTCGGGTAACGCGTAACTCGTCGATAAAATTTGAAAAAAGAGAGGGAAAAAAAAAAGAAACACGTGGAGCGCCGTGTAAAAAAATGCCCGGACGTGTGCGGCGGTATCGCGAGATCGATGAATCATGAATTACGAATA